ACGGATTGCTTTAATTAATGGTTACTTTTTGAAAATATGAACATAATACAGAACTCGAGCAATGAGAGCAGGAAATTCAGTAGCACAAAGATAGAGCAAGTACAAGAAAGTCGAAGCATCGTGAAGAGAAGAACGGTCAAATGAAAAAAGCGATTTTTTTATGACCGGTCACTAGAACCATTAGAAAAGCTTTTAAGGCATATACGAAGATGCGGGCGAAAAAAGATCAAGACGACAACGCCGAGTCAGCTCTGCTTCTTTCCACCGCCTTCCAATTGTGTTTTACTTCTCATGGCCAGGAGAAATCTCTTCGTATTTATTTGTTTCTGACATTTACACGGTTTCGCGCTTTCCAACTTCTTCGAGAACTCTCGCCACCTGCACAAAGCTACAGGCAGGAGACCGCCGCTTGGAGACGTTGCGCTCACGCTCGAAAGGCCAGTTTCAAAAGGGAGCTTTCGCTGGTCGGTTCCTTACCTCCGACTCTCCTAGCATAGGTAGACGCTGCTACTGAGAATGCGCACCGCTAGCTTTGTCTGCAGAATTGCAGCGATCATTTCCGGTAGCCGTAGGCTAGCGGGATGGTGTGTGGGGTTGCAACTTTTTTTGCCTTGTCAGCTTACTGGTGAACGGAGTGCTCCTACATCCTCTTCAATTAAGTATTTTAGTTTACAAGGACTACCATAATTCGGTCGTTTTGGAAATGGAAAGTATACCCTTGAAAAAAGCTAGTAAAACGCTAGTAACTCCAGGGCCGGTTTTCTCGAAGCGATGGTAAACCCATTTTGGTAAACCACGATGCCAAGGAAGGAAAAAGTACCTAGGTACTGTAATAATTGCTGGATATAAAACAACAATAATTATTTTTGATTGGGCAGTAAGATGCGCCATCTATCGGTGAAACAAGCCAGTCATTTTGTTTATCCTCTTTTTCCGCTGGGTGTTATTGATCTAGTGTGATATTTTAAGTCAAAATATAGTAATGTTGCACTTGAAGACCAATTTATTTGCTTCAGATGGTACGAAGAAATTTTAGCTACTATGCTAGAGTTTGCCGACGAATATTCGAAAATGTAAGAAACATTTCCCTCAATATGTTTCGCCATAAACAACGCATAACTTTCCCGTGTCCCTTCCAGTCTGGCAACGCCGGTGTTGTAGTCTCGTTTTTGTTCCTTGCGACGCACGTTTCTGCGAATCCTGCTGATCTGAACTGTTTGCCCCCTTGTCCTTTTGCCCAACCGATCCACCGGTGACGAGGAGCTAAGCTTCTCGTCACCGTTGAATTGCTGGCCACCTGGGATATGTAGAAACCTCGATGCTGTCGGCGCACTGCGAACAAAAAGAAAACAGTACAATGTCCCAGCTGTTCACCCGGAACGAAGACTTTATCGAAAATAACCCCCTTTCTTCGCAAAGTAATCGCTGCTCACGAGTTGGCGTGCATAGTGTAACACATTAAACGTTTTAGTATAAATATATACCAACACTCGTTCGCAAAACATTTTTTTGCTCACCATAAAAACACTGTCAAGGCTTACGTACCGTCATAAGTCTTGGATCCTGGACTGCTGAAGAGTGATGCGTTCGCGGAATGCTGCCGTAGGTTAGTTTAGTAGTCCCTCTGAACTACCGCTTTGCTTGACGTGCTAATAGGTTGATGGTGCGTCATTAATATAACAGCCGGATCGAAATGAATGTTCAGCAGAACCAAGGAGAACTATTAGCCCTAATTAAGCGACGTCGCGGTCATTTTGCTTGTAGGTACTGCTCCTCCCTCGGCGCTTCTGCTCTCCCAGTCACGTGACCTAGAATTCCCTCTTCTAGGCACAATAGTTAACTTTAACCCACGGTTCGCGTTCGAGAAAACGGGCCCAGGAGTTACTACCTTTTTCTGAGCGTTACTACCTCTCACTAACCATTTACTAAATCAAACGCGCGATAGGTACTAAAAAGTCAGCAAATGCAGGCGTTACTACCTTTTTCTGACTGTTACTACCTTTTTACTAGCAATTTACTACCGCGAATTTGCGGTAGTAAATAGCTAGTAAAAAGGCGCGGAGAATATGGCGGCGCTTGCTTCATACCCGATTGCCAGCGTTAGCGACGCACTTGCTGCTTCGAATCTCAGTGGGAGGTATCCACAACCAATCGTAGCGTCAAATATTGTATGAGGCGGCATGTCTAAGGGTTGGAGCTGACTTTATAACGATCGCAGCCGCCGTACCAGCACGTCGTGAAAGTCAGCGCTGCAGCGAGCGCAGAAGCCATTGTTGATGCAATGGCCATGCAGCTTATTTACTTTCCTCCTCGTTTGCATTCATTTGTGAGCGGTTATATTTTTATTTTGGTTTTAACTGGGATGAAAATAGCCACGTAGCACATACTAAAATGTTTCGGAAACAAAACAAGGCTAATTTTTTTTTTAACATATGTTTTTCTTTTACAAGAGACGCTTGGCAACATTGTAGGACAAGCAAGTTGGAGCCAGTCGGAGTTCGCAAAACGCTAATTTCTTCGATGTGAAACCGCCGTTTTTGCCTTGTGTCGTGTGAAGTTCTCGTGTTCCTGTGTTGGAGCAACACCTCCTAGAAATAAGGCCGTATCGCTCCGAGTGCTTACGTCACAATGTCGGAGGAAGAAAGGCCATGGCGCGACTACGTGAAAAAATTTCTGCTATCGACGTGAAAAAAATGTTTCTTCTCGAGCGGCGCGTGGGTGTTCGTGCACGTTTACCCAACATTAAAATGCGTTTTAAAAGCGCAGTCTTTTTCGATTTATTGTATATATGATATAAACGTAATACACAACGTGTTACCAAGGTTGAAAATATCAAATTTATATTTAGGATTATCCCCGTAACCGCGAGACTACGTGCAGTCCCGCAGGTCCCCACACTTTTCGAATGAACCGGCCCCGAATTTTCGATGCGACATCGTCCCTCACACAGGCTCCAATCCTGGTAAATTTACGTTGTGTGTGAGCTGATGACTGCCTGAAAAGGAACGCTGAGACATTTAAAAAGGAAAAGGAACCGAAAAAAAAATCCAGCCATCGCCGCAGGAAGCAAAATTATATATTTCTCAAAACCAAAATGTTGTATATGCGAAGTTTTTTCATAGGCTACGTACGAATCGTAGAGCTTATTCGTTATTAACATAAAATGCAATATTTTATTTGGTGATATATCTCTTCAGATATCCGTTTGTATGTGCATCATAACTGTAGCTGCCGCTTTTACGTTGTTTCTCTATGTCAAAATATTTGCGTGGTTTCACTGTTTAATTATTTTTATAAGCTGGTGTACTTCAGCGATTTGTCCCATATGGACTCTAAAACAGGTGCATATTACTGCTGTAAAACCAATTGCGTAGAAACACATGTTTCGCCGAAAGTTACAGTTTAATAATATTTTAATAAATTTGTGGACACATTTGCGTCTGGGCCATGGACCTTTTGGTGTAACTCCCCCCCCCCCCCTTTCCCCTTTTCCCTTTTTCCATAAAACATGGCTAAAACAACAAAAAATTCTTAAAATGTCCTATCTTAGCGAGGGCTAAGATAGGACATTATGGAAATCCTTCATTTCTATACGTTCGACGTGTGCTTAATCTCATCTATTACCAAACACCCTGCCATCGCCAAATCAGTGAAATATCTTACTTTGGAAGACGATGGCATGAAACTCGAGTTAGCCAATCGGCCACTGGAATTCTGACAATTCTTTTAATAGATTGGACAACAGGATTTAGAAATACACTGGGGATGGTTATTGGTTCAATCTTTAAAATGAAAGCCTTCTTCGTGACGGAAGCATTTCAATTGAAAACACTTTATTTTTGTGTCATGTCGCATAGAAAGTTGGCTGGGTAAAAAGAAAGTGAGACGCTCCGGATGATTGCATTAAAGAGTACTCTGATTTTGAACTCGATTTGACTCGTTGTTCATCGTTTGTATGTACTACAAACGACGGACACCAAGTTTCATGGAAGAACATTATTAAAAAAGCTTAATATGGTTACACGGTGGAGTTTGACAAACCTTGCTAATCACTCAGGAAGGAGCACAATCAGGTTTTTCCTTAATGTTTGAAAATTCACTGCGCAACTTCTTTTTAACTAGTTTAACATAACAATCCTTATCCCAAGAATGCCTCCATAAGGTCAGCGCGCAGTAACGTAAGCGTGAAACAGAGCGGGATGCGCTAGAGATGTGATCCCTACAGTCGAGAAATAAGTCCTTTCCCGCCTCGTCTGCTTCAGGCGTCTCTAACTTCAAAACGAGAAACGCACCGAAGTTCCCGCTTACGCATTTTCTTATTTCACAAATTCCCCCCAACATATGCATTTGTTGGATGAAAATTAAAAATTCCACGCCTTTTCTCTGTCAGATTTGGGATGAAATCACCCATGGGTTTACCCTAAGCGAGGTCGAGGGAAAGCGTGTACACATGCGCAGAGGCTTTGAAAATTTTTCATTTATGCAGTGGGTGCATGAGAATTTATTTTATTTTAATTTATACATAGTTTCACAGGTGCAGTAGTTATTTATACGAACACGTTCCGCTAGAAGTCTGGGAAGGCCGAACGGTAACATCTAGCTAAGAAGCTATCAGCATAACATTGAGGATTAAACTTCGTCATAAAGTACGAATTCCCGGAAAGGAAGACCTGACATTCATGAACAAGGATTTTGTAATGCCGGAAGCTCTACAATTCAATAGTTTTCCTTATAGGCATGTTGTTTTTGTGATTGTTTTTTGTTTCCTACCAAAGGCCTGTGCGGAGAATACTCTAAAGGTCACAATAGTGCGGAAGCCGACATCGAACGTACGAGCTGTGTAGAAAAATGGTAGTAAACATCCGGGAAAGCTTTGTAGCTGATGTCGCTCTTTTATTGTCAGTGAACATACGTTAATGTCAGAGATAATACAATATAAAAGAAGGGACCGGGGCTAGCTTCTGCCTGTTTGCTTTTTCTTTGCTCTAGCAAAATACGGAATGTTACGCACAACTGCTTTATGCGCAATGTGCATCTTTGTGTGCGGACAAGTTGCGAAGATACCCATCGAGAATGATCCTGAATATGAAAGATACCAGCACGCATACGTGGTATGTTTCCAGTTCTTGCACCGTGTAGGGGTCACATGAGACCACTACATAGGTGCTGTGTGGCTCATGTAGTGGAGTTATCTTAGTCCTTCAAATTTCTGAAGTTCTTTGACCCTAGTTTTTAGTTTTTTTTATATAACATCGTGATAACACGTTCACAAAATGTTCGTTGAAATATTCGGGAAGATTTCATCTTTTTCACAACAGGGACCCCATGTGCGGTTTCTAGCCGACCATTGATGAACTAAGCTTTTTTTATTATTCAACTTCACTGTTTGCCTATCAGAAGCGTGCCTGGATGCAATGTGAGGCACTTCATCAGGCATGGTTAGTTCTCCGAGAGAAACGTTAAAACTTGGTCTTATATGAGTAATACCATGAGCGTGTGATATAGAGAAATTAGATAATTATAAAAATGTTTTTCAACAAATTCTGGCGAAGACAATATCTTGAAATTTTAGTTTGTTCATTGGACGTAACCAAGTTTTTATGGGATTATTTACTATTGTAGTTGAAGTTATGGCGAATTGGTCGTTGTTTGTCAGGGCAAGTATTAGGCTAACGACCCACACTGAACACACGTTTTCTATACGGGATCATACGCGACTAAAATAGAATTTTGAAGTTTCAAAAAGCATATTACCGATTGCTATGTTGTTAAAATTATACGCCACATCAAATCACTATTTACCAAGTAGCTGATCATCCACTTATATATAAGTTGGCAGAGCAAAGCAAAGAATTCTACACTTTTTAAATAAATTTTCTTTCAGCTACGTGTCAGCTACTCGTGCTATTGGTCTCGAGATCGACCCTGAGGAGGTGCTACTGTCGCGCAATCCTCGTTATCAAAGCGGGGGCAGAAGCATGGCCGCCCCATAGCATCTCCACGTTCGCGCGCATGGCGGTGTGAATTCTTGCGTTTATTTTGTCCCATAGTACCGGTTAGAAAACAACTTTAGCGGAAAATGGTGCGATACTGTTCAGTGCTACGGCGAAGATCGAATCGTATTACCAGCGTACGGCCCAAAATATAAAGAATCGCTTGTGTGGATGCGTCGCCTGCGCTAGGCTGACATAAGGAAGCATGGATCACCACAACTGAGGCCTGTTTCCGGGTGAACTGCACCATATATGTTAAATATTGGTTTAGTTTCAAAAGACATGTATTGGTTCACCAGCGTAGAAATTAAACAAAACAAGGAATTCCAACCTGCATATTTGCATGATACTGGTATTGTGGGTTGTAGAATCGCAGATTCTATGCATTTTCTTTTCGTAACTTAGAGTTTTTGCTGTAATATAAATATTTCACATGAAGTAGAGTTAGGCTGTGTTGGAAACTACCGTAATATTGTTAACTTGTATGAGTAAGGAAGTTCTGCTGTAGCCAGTGTTTCCATTTACTGTGCCAAAGGTATGGGTAAGTGTTTCAGAGTCGGAGTAATGTGTTTACGCTGCGATCAGAGGAGAGTGCCCCTTCAAGTTACGATCCGCAATCTGTTCGTTGTCAGGACAACTGAAACAAGTGAAACAGGCACTTAGCCAGGGGAGGGGGGGGGGGGGGGAGGGAGGGGGCCGAAATCTTCGATTTTGTTGGGACCTCCTCTCCCCCTCCCCCTCATACAGCATTTTGTCATGGGCGGCCTCCCCCCTCCCCCCCCCTTCCCCCGAGACAAAATCTTGGTTACGTGCCTGAAGTGAAACAAACTGTTCTAATATATCTGCCGCAAGTGTACAACACGAGTGTAACCGAGCAACGCAACAGCGTGCGTGTAATTAGATGCTCTTCTCCATAGTGTGGGTTCACCCGCTTCAATTTTCTCGGGAAGGCCGGCGGATGTCATGAGGCTAATATTATAAATTTCTGGCTATATCATCTTCTATCCAAACGTAGTAGGCTCTGCAACTCCGACAAACGAGCCGCACCACGACACAGTCAGCATCGGCCGGAGCAACACACTTCTACTAATGACAGTTAGCGACTTTCACGCGACTTTCCGATAACCCTCCGCCCTAACCTAATGCATGTCGGGACTGGGCAGTTCATCGATTAACTTTCAGATTTATCGAGTGCTTCTTTAATTGCGATCTTTTTTGTAGTTTATTTGGAGTCGTGTGCTGGAGGAATTCAGGGAAAGAAGGAAACATTGCCTTCTTTAATATTTCTGACGTCTTTATTTTTTGGGGGGAGTCTGCCATATGTAAAAAGCCAGAAACTGTAAACCATATTTTCTAGTCCGCTGGGACGGAGTGTTTCACTAAGACGTTCTGCAGCCTACTTTAATAAATGCGTTGGTCTATATCGGCTATCGGCTTTTGGCATCCGTTCGCTTACGACAGACAACGAAGCGGGCGTGCCCTAAGACTTGTTGACGTTGTTGAGTCTCCACAGTTTGTGGAAATCTAGGATGGCGGTACGACACGGCGGCGTAAATGCTCGACCGGTCCGAAACTACTTCATCGAAAGTGTCTGTTGTTTACGATAAGTTTTTAAGTCGCAGAGTGATTCACCAGATTGGCTGCCTGTGCTAGACAAACTTGTTCATCTAAACGCTTATTAGCGCTCGGTACTCCGGACAGTGAGCGGCCGGTGCGTGTGAAACGCGCGTTAATTGATCGACACTGTGTAGTTTGTCGTCCGTGCCCAACAAAATTAAATTAAACTAGTAATCTGTTTTCTTGCCTCTTTTTCTTTTCAGTTTCGTGATGATAAGGAAAAACTTTTTATAAAGTATTCTACTTATAATCCTTTGCCTGGGGCGGATTGCTTTTGGAACACTGTGTCATGCGTGAACGGCACATATGTGCTTCACCTTCGGCTGCGAATCAATGGAAAAACGTAATGCTCACTTCATCACTCTTAAAGTCACCGACAACCTAATAACAACAGGACGTGACCAGCGGTCACAGCTTTCGTCCCTTCACGTCATTCGTTCCTCATAAAACGCACTCGGTGATGTTTCAATTCTACCGACTGTCCAGAGGTGGCGAGATAGTTGCGACTGGCCACGTCCATCACGTTCTTAGGTTGTCAGTGGCCTAAAACGGCCTACCGATGCTCGTATATCTAAAGTTTGCTTACAAATACTCTTGTATTGCGCAGTACTGGATTCGACACCCCACTCCAGTTTGAAACCAGCAAAGGACACACCAAGCCGAATATAATCTTGCATAAACTCACACCAAGTATGTATACACTTACGCATATTATATTCACGTGGGAAACATCGCCCTCTCTGATAAGGAACGCGATCACACGTTAGCATGGCACCCTGCGGTCGCTAAGATTGTAGTTGCCGTGAACGTGCCCGATCAATGCCGTGCCTCATTCTGTTTTGCGGTTTGAGGGTCACATGCAAAGATATTTTCCAGACCGCCTTTTAAACTATATTCCAAATCTCTTTATAAACGTCTCCATCTCCTGTATTACTTAACCGCTGTGAGTATTAAAAAAAGGTGTGACCTAGTCGTACGAATTCTGCTGGGGCACTAAGCGTTTTAATACAAGATGCTACAACGACAAAGAGGCTTTTGTGCCGAATTTCTCACTAAGTATGCAAAAAGCGAATTAATTCATCTTGCCGATCAAGTTTTTTTTTATAATTTAGGTGGTTAATGAACGGACGGCTGCCGAGAAGCAGGCTACACACTCCGCTGCTAAAAATATAATCTGATTATTAAAAAAAAATTGCATTTGAGGGATAATTTATTAAGTGGGGCCTAGAGAAAATTAACAAAAAGAATTCAAGAGTCACACGAGCCGACATTCTGACCAACACATCACAAGTATGCTGAGCCATGCGTTCGTTACGAAGTACAGGAAATAATACGGCTTGTGTTACGTTTTAACGCGACTACTGAATCAGCACATGAACACGCAGCACGTCATGTAAAGTCGGGTCTTTGACTGTGATGTTCGCGCTCAGGCATGTTTTTTCCAGGGCTGGTAATAAAGTATTATTGAGGATTTGAGCGAAGCTGTCGTACCAGCTTCGTTTGATTTATCTGCACCTCCTGCGCCGGTGCGGAAAAGTGTAGGGCGGTTTACTTCCTGTCGTATTTCAATACACATGCCGCAAGTACACTGGCCTACACTTTTAGAGCGCAGCTCTTAGGGGCCCGTTCCCGGCTTGAGCGGCGTCGGCGTCGGCGTCGGCGTAACCAAGGTCACCCCAAGGTCACGCGACCCCCCAGGTCACCCCAAGGTCACGTGACCCCTCCCCAGGGTCACGTGACCCCCAAGGTCACGTGACAGCCGAAGTCACGTGACCCCCCCCCCCCCCGAGGTCACGTGACCATCCCCCAGGGTCACGTGACCCCCTGCCGAAGCCACGTGACCTCCCGATGACGTCATCGTCACTGATGACGTGACCGGCATCCGCAACGTCATCGTCATCGTCACTGATGACGTCGTTGGTGACGTCACTGATGACTTCACCGGCATCCGCATCGTCATCGTCATTATCACTGATGACGTCATCAGTGACGTCACTGATAACCTCACCGGCATCCGCATCGCCATCGTCATCATCACTGATGACGTCGTCAGTGACGTCATTGATGACGTCACCGGCATCCGCATCGTCATCGTCATCATCACGGATGACGTCATCAGTGACGTCACTGATGACGTCACTGACATCCGCATCGTCATCGTCATCATCGCTGATGACGTCATCGGAGTCCGCATCGTCATCGTCACTGATGACATCATCGGCATCGTCACGTGACCCCCAAGGTCACGTGACCCCCAAGGTCACGTGACCCCCCAAGGTCACTTCACCCCCCCCCCCCAGTACCCTTCCCTCCTCCTCCTCAAGAGCTGCGCTCCTGGGAGTTGTAAACCGCTTTCACTTTTTTTCTACACCCGTCCAAGGAGGTGCAAGTAAATCAAATGGAGCTAGTGTAATTGTTTATTTTTTTATGCTCTGCAAATTTACACAGCATACACGCCTTGTACCCACCTCACATAATGTCGTGCGCCGGCAATCACCATGCTGGTGGTGGAGTCGACGGCCGTTGGCAGCGAGAGCCATGGTAAACTCCGTCGCGTTGGGCTGAGGCAATGGAGCTTTTCCGTGAAGCGTTCTGCGCATGCTCGAGCGCCGATGCCAAGCGGCGGAAGTCGAAACGAAAAATCGAGGAAATTCGGAATGAACCTTTGGATAAGCGAGTAGAACAGGTAATTGCAGCATATATATAATTGGGTTACACAAAAAAAGAAAGTGGACGGAAAGAAAAACACCACGTTTGGGTGGACGCTAGGGATTTCCCTCTTTAAAATCGCGTTCGACACGCGACGCAGCTCAGAGATCGAAGCAACTGGTAGCGTAGCTCCCATTAGCGATTGGTAGCGCAAGTAGGTCACTTCCTCGATTTTTAGATCGTGCAGCCACCGCCTGGTGCCGTCGGTATTTCGAAAAGGTTCATTGCTACGAATCGCGAAGATCGTTTTATTGACATGCCCCGCGACAGAGTAGCCGTCAAGTTAGAAAAAGTATAAGTGGCAGAGAAGAGATGCGGATGCGCGTTATGAAGTTCGCGGAACGCATTTCGTAGCAGCAAGTGACGACACTTTTCTAACGTTGCCTATGTTCGCGCACGTCTTTGCATCGGCTTTTCCCGATCGTGACGTGGATGCACTGTGCTTTTCGTTTCATCACGCTGTTTCCACGCTTTGAGCGCACCGTCGGTGTGGCGGCGACCCCCGAGTGCACGCTCGCCGAGACGCCAACACCGGGACATAGGGTTGTGCCATCCGCGGCACGGTGGACTAGAGTTATTTACCAGTACTTCGCGAAATCGTAAACACTTCACTACGAGAGGATTTTAGAGCCCCTGGTAAAATAATTTTGGGACGCGTAATGAAGCTTGTCTTGCCGACACGACAGCCCTTCGCGACAAAACGTCGTCGGTGACATGCAGGGTGTCGAACCGGAACCGAACCGAACCGAAAACCGGAACAGAACCGTTATTTTTAGCCGAACCGGAACTGAACCGAACCGAAATTTTCGCCGCCATCTTGGAACTGAACCGGAACCGAACCGAAAAAAAATATAACGGTAACCGGTTCAAAACGGTTCAAGGTAATTTATTTTTTATTTTTTGTTAGTAGCACGAAATGAACGAATAGGAATAAAAAATTGGCGGCTGTATTTCTATCTATTGCTCAAAATTGTCATATACAGAAGGCAACGTATGGTAAATTGGGTTTCCGTGGCGCTTTTGTATCGGCACTATGGTTAACCATGTGTCACGTAGTCACTTGACGCCATAGTGTCAATACATATTGCCAAGTAATGCCACGTGACCTCATGACGTCACATGACTCACTGCGTCAACTCGATTTAATTCGAGGAAGTCACTAGATCTGTTAACCTTGTTGACAGCGTGATGTTACATGACATCGCGATTTTGCACCGAGAGTCACGTGACGCCATGACGTAAGCGATTTTTATAACCACGAGTCGAGTGCTCGGGTTCTTGACAGTCAGCATCGTCAAACATTCGGGTAACGGCTCATGTCAACTAAATATCATAAAAGCCCAACTCTAAAAATGTCTAAAGCACAGCCCAAGCTTTTGCTTTCCAAACCCTAGCCGCCTAGGGCATGACTATGATGAACACTGACGGTATATAATTAGCGTCAGATCACTTGGCCGCTTGTTCAGATTGCGAGTTGAGGAGGAGAGCGACAGCTGTCTCTTTCCTTTATTTTTTCTGCATCTGCTATTGCGCGGAGGGGAAAACTAATGAACGTTTTCGCAAGCTATCAACGTCAGGGGTTACTTCTTAACAGTATTTACTGAAAGTACAAAAGAATAGGGCTGGGCAATTGATCGATTAACCTACCGATTAATCGATTAATGCTTTAATCGCGATTAAATTTTTTAACTGGTTAATCGGTAAAATTTAGACGAACCAAAAAACTCTAAATTGAACCCTTCCATCAAAGTCAAATTTGGGGGTTTTACGTGCCAAACCAACGACGGGCATCTGGCACGCCCCAGCGGAGGACTGAGGATTAATTTCGACCACCTGGGGATCTTTTGACGTGCAACCGAAAGCTCGGTTACACGGCGCCTTCTCCGCAATAAGCCTCCGTCAAACCCTTCCATAACGCAGACGTGGACGAGTACGCCTGTACGAAGGGCGAACTTTAGGTCAAATTTTAGAATAAGGTAAACTGTATAGAGGCGATATATTTTTAGCATCAGATTTAGTGCAGAGGTTACGCAAGTCCCCGGCCATTTCAATGTCGTTCGAGTGTCTGTTTAGTGCAGTAGAGACTATTGTGAACAATGAAAGGAAGTCGCTCTTTCTAGAGAATATCAACGAACATCTTTGCCTCACGCAGCAAAAGTAATATTTTGTGAAAGATATCTGATAGTGATCTTGATTAATTAATAATCCAAGTTGTGCATTGCACCGTTTATCACAGATTCAGCAAAAAAAAAAGACTTCTTTTAATATTTTTTAATGAAATAAACGAGACCGATTAATCGATTAATTAATCGATTAAAGGGTGGCGATTAATCGGGTTAAAACTTTTAATCGACGCCCAGCCCTACAAAAGAATGTTGCAAGACCAATTGTACATCATTGAGGGACCCAAACATTTTTTCGTTGTTGCTGAACTGCATCCGAAAGATGTCCCCGAGAATAGATGTATTGAAATGACTAGATGAGACTTACTAATATGACATTACATAGAAGTACATGTGTGTGCGGAAGGAATACCTAAAAAAAATAAGATTTTAATGACCTCAGAGGGACAGCCGAACGTTGGCAGTCGCTGTAAGTCTCACACGAGCGTCGTTCTCAAGTTATTGCCCAAGTTTCGACCCCCTCTGTATTTTGCTTAAAGAAGCTATAAAAAGATTTCTATACATCACTAAATTGTACTCAGGATCACCCCCTATAGCGTTAATAACTGATTGAACTTGGCTTTGGTCTTTTTTCAAGGCAATGGCAGTCGCCAAAAAATTCGAGAAATATGAGCATCGTTCATTCCCTCAACTCGGAGCCAGAAGCGGCCACGTGGCCTGGTGCCTGTCTTATGCCGCCAACGTTGATCATACCCCCGCACTGGGGTCGGAAAGAAAGAAAACGCGTGCTGAGCTCCAGGCATTGTTAGAATTCGGCTATTCTCATCACCGTAGTGGTTGGACACGAGCCACTACCCAAGTGTCCGCCGAAGCATTGCTTGTTACGAGCCGATGTACAATGCTCACGCAGTTCTCCTGTCCAATCCTTGAGCCGCGCTCAACTGTCGACAGGCGGGTGTGGTTGATCCCACAATTACGACATCAATCTTTGCGAAGGCAAGACTAAAAGAAATGGTCTCATTTTAGCCTCGCAGTTTCACCGCGACAAAGAAGTTTCTAAATCAGTGGCGGCCTGTGCGAGTATACTTGGGTCACACCAGGACCAGTACGCCTCGGAAAAGTCATGAAGACTCCAACCCGATATCGTTTTATGACCCCTTTAAACTTCACGGGGTGCAAAATAAAAGCAGTGAAGGGTTGCTATTAATAAGTGACAACTAAAATTGTCGAATTAGCACACACGAACGGAGGAGGCCATTTTTCAGGAATGCTATCAGCCTCTCCACTCCGGTGAAGAAGGAAGACCAGCGAAGTAGTGGCCGGCCGCAAGTCGGCAAGCCAGAGTGGATAAGCTCGAAAGGTTGCCGCCATCTATGAGCAACGGCGGCAACCAGACAACCGGCAAGCCGGTTGTCTGGTTGCCGTCGTCACTTATAGGTGTCGGGAGCTGTCCAGAGTTTATTTTCATCATTGGTTTGCTGATGGACACGGTACTGGGGGAACTAGCCCTTTGCAGCTCCGCTGTAAAAAGAAGTGTGCGTGCGTGTGTGTGTGTGTGTGTGTGTGTGTGTGTGTGTGTGTGTGTGTGTGTGTGTGTGTGTGTGTGTGTGTGTGTGTGTGTATGTGTGTGCGCGCGTGTGTGCGTGCGTGGGGGGAGGGGGGTTAATTTTAAAAACCTACTGTGTTGTAAAGGTTCCTCTTCCCCGCATCTTTGGTGCAGACCAAAAAGCGTGACCCCGGAAACGACTTCGTGTGCAAAAACGTTCTTGCCAAAAGCACGTTTTTGTCGTTCCAGACGCTCGAGCCGTTCCTCACGACGATGCACTAAGAATAGCAATACGTGCTTTTAAAAAGCTTGACTTTCACTGAGCTTGAACCTCCTGCAGCGTGAATTTTGCACTTTCGAATTCGATTTTCTCAGCAAGAAGAAATCGCAATGACCACCAGCCTATAGTGTGATGACGTCACGTGCATACCATGTTAAACAGTTCAGCCTTATGGTGAAATGTGATGTTTGCAACACTAGCAATGGACTTCCTAATTGTAAACCTGCGCAGTACTTATAGCAGTCTCGCGGTGATATACGGCAGCCTAGAGAAATGTTAGAGCGCATGACTATTCAAGCATAGGGTTCTAAAGTGAGGGCCCAAAACAAGTGCAGGTAAAACCGAATATAACATTAGCCTCCCGAGGAAGTATTTCGTGTAGTTTCGAGCTCATGCAAGCTGATGAAATGTGATTCATACCAAGATTTTAAGAATCTTTGTCTGTCCTTCGCCCTATCTATGTAATATCATAAATTTCATTGTGTGCATTTTTACGCATCTCTTTGTGTAGTAAGGCGTTCTGTAGGGGATTGTTTAGAAAAATAACATTAATTATCTCTGTATTTTTGAACATTTCATGTATTTGACTTCCAATCTATTATTTGAGTACAGAGTACCCTGCAACCCGATGTTTCACACTGCCAATCAGCAAACAGAAAAACACTTTTTTACGCAGATTCCACAGCTCGCGTAGTTTCGAGTATCGTCCTTTCGCGTCAGTCTCAGGTGGTTAAGTGAACTTTATGAAGTAAAATTTATTGATCGTTATAAAAATATATTTAATTACTAACTGAATATTTCACAACATATATAAGTGGCCGACCACCCTAAAGCAATGCCCCCCAAATTATCTGAAAAATGTTGTGCCAATCTTTTCCAGCGTTTTTATCCTCGACACGCACGTGATATGTGATATGTGACAGCCTTACGCACAGTCCTGATTTTGAAGCTAATTTAAGTAACTGTGTGTTCCTCACACATACATTTCTCAAACATATAGAAGTTTGTTATTGCCTCTTTTATGTGGGGAACATTACTTTTATGGTGTCTGTGGGCTGGACAAAAACAAGTAAACAAGGGCGCGCGGCGGAACTATGACGTTTACGCACGCAAACCATCAGAAAGTGTCCAATTAAGTAGCTGCCATTTCGAGTAGAACATGAAATACTACTTCGTTTTACTTAACCAAAAAGTATCTTGGAGGACGCTTAAGCTTCGCCTTTAAAAGTGGAACGCAATAGCCTTAACGGGTCTCGTTTGCATCGCATTCTCATTTTCCACGAATGCGTGCCTCGCGTGGCCTAGTCAAAAGCATCTGACTCGCAACCGAACTGTCGTGGGTTCGAGTCCCCCCTAAAATTCTTAATTTTTTTCTGTAAGGCAAAGGAATTACTATAAAAAGTGTAATTATTTGAGACATACGTTGACCTTTAATTCGCATTACATGTCATGTTTTAATCACTCTCAGTTCACGCGTGATGTCACCTTTCACATGAGCATTATGGCTTGTTTGAAATTCTTGCGCGAGGGCATTTAGCTCTTATGTCATCACCCTATCGATCAATCAAGATTTTCTAGTCACGCCACCACATCGGGTTGTCTGCGACATGAGCTCCTTAACGCTATCGCGTTAAAATCATCAGTTAGCAAGGGTGATGCTCATTAACTAATTAAATTGACCCGGCATCTCGTTAAGAACAAACCTCAATAGCCAGGCTATGCCAGCTTCTCCTGTATAAGAAAATGTTCACTTGGACAAGCGCTATTTTGGGCCAGATTCGATCTGAGTGAGAAGGTGCTTATAGATTACAGTGAACAATTGCGATTACTCCTTGCTGCATGATTAGTCGCATGCATGCGGTACTGAGTGTAAACAATGTTTGGTGAGAACAACAAGCATTTTGATTGCCGCTCGGTGTTTCTATAAAAAATAATCTGAAAGGAATTATTCTAAAACGTTTGTGACATTTTGAAAATTTCATTGCTTTCAGCTTAGTTGTGTCGTCATCTTATACATATATATTGTGAAGCGTATTTTGCAAACAATATCTCGTAATATATATATATGGCCACGAGGTGTTCATTTTTTTAATTTTATCTGATGTATTTAATTCCTTGGATCAACAACACAATCACGATTTCACTTTTAGTACTGCGACACAAAGTTGAACCAATCACGGGTATTTTAGGTGACCTAACACACTTCGCGACAATATTTTATACCGTGTAAATAAATCAGCTTTAACTTTAGAATTTTACTTAAACACGAAGAAAGGACAAGAAAATACAGTATAGTTCTAAATTTCTAGCTGATCTATTTACAGGTATGTACCAACAAGCTCAATTCTTCACTCTTGTAATCAAACATTTTGATTGAGGTAAAATATGTGTTACTGGTAAACAAAGGGATGTAGAGTGGTATGAACAAGACGTTATGTGCGTTAATGTAGATTTTCTTTTACTCTTGCGTCAAAATTAATTAACTAAATTTCATATTTTGGTACCTAAAAACAAAAGTAAATTGCACGGACGATCGAAGAAGCTATATAGTTAAACGTTTCACGGCGTAAATAGTGTATATGGCCAGAACAACGTGGAAATTATATTCTCAATTTAGCGGTTCAAACCGGTTCAAACCGGTTCGAACCGGTTCGAACCGTTATTTTTTGCTTCCCGGAACTGAACCGGAACCGAACCGAAAGCCGTGAACCCGAACCGTAACCGAACCGATAAAAATTTCGGTTCGACACTCTGGTGACATGTCGAACTTGTCTAGTCATAGCGCAATCGCACCAACGCCCAAACATTTCGCACGTACTGGCTGAACGTCATCATCGTAATCTCGGAATTTTTTATAGTACAGCTGTTAAAGGCTATGTGCCCCAGGATTGCGTCCACCGGCAAAGAAATGATGACCTAACTCTGGACAGCTACCGCCATCTATGAGCGGCGGCGGCAACCAGACAACTGGTTGCCGCCGTCGCTCATAGATGGCGGCATCATTTCTTTAGAAAAAGAACGGGAACGGAACGAGCGGCGATGGTGCGCAGCAGCGCTAATGGTTCCTCAACCGCCGTGAGGCGGCTATTGCTTAAGATTCAATTGCCGTCCAGCGCTTCAGATTCTCTTGCGAAAGAAGAGCAGATCGCCGGCCTGGAAAGCCACCGTCGAGAACAGAAGCTACAGCTTCGTTGCTCTTTCTTCTTCACCAAAATAAAAAAAAAGCTAAAAGTTCTTTTCTTTTTTTTAAAGATAGAGTTAAGAAGTTAGGTGCCATTGCTGAAAATACTGGCATGTCAACGATTGTCCGGGCAGTCAACCTATGTCTTCGTAAGCGCATCCGCGCGGTATGAAGTCCACCACTGAGCGGGGCCCCGTCCTCCCCTGGTGTGACGTCACGAACGAGGCATATATATAATGCTCTTTAATATTAATGTTAATTGAGCCAGGTACTATTGAAGTTTTCAGGTTAGCGCGTCTCCGTAAGGCGCAGATTATTAGAGAATTTATATATTGGGTTATTCTTCTTTTGGTCTCGCAATTTAATGTCCCAATTACCGATTGCAGATGACACCAAACCTGCCAAATTCCCCTTAATGTATTTAGACGCGACAGAAGACTGTTTCGTTCTTCGAGTTCCCCATATCAAAAACGGTGAGTACAATCAGTGCATAGTAAAGTGAAGCGTATGTCTCTCATTTCTAAATATTGAAATTGATTTTAACGTGAAAAGAAAAGCACGCAAAAGCTCGGTTGGCACGTCTTTTGGTGGCTTCCCACTGAGCACTGAAGGAAGTACTAAAGATTGATTGGGTCATTTTTTTTAAACATTGCCAAAGTCAACAGCGCATTTTCATCGTGCAAATTTTGTATGCTTCAAAAGCAATCTTCGATTCCAATAGAAGTCTTTCAAGCCAAACGTGACGTAACAAAATTAATGTTTCTATATAAGTTTTGTTGTTAAATACAATGACCAAACATTTTCTAATACCACCCTCGAGACAATAAAATATCTTGCCGATTGATTTTCTAGCTGAAATTAATGAGAGGAACCGTGAAATATTATGAGTTCAATCTTCGTGGTGCAGCTTGACACTGGCATTAAAACAAGCGTCTCAGAAAAGCTTTATTTTCGTGTTCGTAAAAAATTAACGCACTGCCTTTTTTTTTTTTCCGGAATGCCATTAATCGTGAGGCCTGCAGAGTCATACGGCAGCAGGTCCTGCGCCAGTAGCGCCGTGATACTCACTTCGACCTACAACATGGCGTTTAACAATGGCTCCATACCACTTAGCGGGAAGCGACATACAATTGGGTCAAAACGCTACGTCAGCGTTATGTTCAGTATTCTGTTTCTATGTGGGGATTTATAAGCTATCCAGGGACTGCTATGTCAAGTCTGTTAGCCGCAGTCATGTTTTTAGCAATGAGCGTAATGAAATAGTCATAATTCGAAACTGACAAAGAACTTGACTTTAGGCTAACGAAGCCCGGTAACTATTTAATGTAGACGAATTAGTTCACTATTTTCGGGTGTAAGGGTGCTCGTTTACCTCCCAGCAGTGTTTGTGTAAGTATAATCATTGTGATGTGTTGAAAAAAATACTTCAGTAGGTGATGCATATATTTTATTTAAAAGGAAAAACGTTGTAGAGATGGTAACACCGATTATAATATTTCAGCTGACCAGAATTCAACGCATATTACATTTTCAGAAATTAAAGGTATTTGTGTCATTCGATATGTGTAAATGGTTGTGTGTTTCCACAATGAATAAATCACGGCTAGCCTGGACTCATGCAATCCAAAACTTGCGCTTTTTGATTGTATGGATACTTTTTAAAATACGTAGACGCTCGAGAGTTGAGCATAAAGAGTTTCAGTAGATCGTTCCAACACCTCCGATAACGATACGATGCGTGCGCAAGGGCGTCGGCGGAGTGTCGAGTATCGCTATCGGAGTCATGAGAACAATCCAAGTAAAGTTCTTATAAAAAGGCGTTTAATGTCCCAATACTCTTTAATGCAAGCGTTCTGAAAACGGAAGCCATATATGGGCCTTTCTCGGAAAACCACAGATGAAGCTGCTGCACACGCAGTCAAACAGCAATTTTCTAAATTTACTGCTGCTCTCCTTCCCCATGAGTCATTTTCAAATTATATTTTAACTAACTTCTTTTTTTGCGTGTAACGAGGCTCGTTACACGCAAAGTCTTGCGGTGTAACGAGCCTCGTTAATTTTGCTGAAGCCGCTCAAGTAGTCAGACACTGTTAGAAGGGCGTAGAATCAACAATTTCAACGCGAAAAAGAGCACGGGGACTCTCACCGGCGCCGAAAACAACGCAATTTAATGGTTTGTTTATGGACGACGTCCAGCTTCTTGCCCACCGTCCACCGCGCATGCGCGGCGCCGGTGGCGTCCGCTATGGGCGCTCCGGTTTGTTTATAAACATGAGTTGGTGTATACGTGGGCAAGGAAGCAGCCGGACACGAAGAGTCCCGAAACCCAAGTGAGCTTTGTTAACAGCTCCCGCGCCGAAGGCAATATCACGCGCTAGATTCGCACATGCGCCTTGGGCACGTCACGAGGCATGCCGCATCATAAATATCGAGTCAGGCTACATCCCCCTTTCTGAGAGAGAAAGACCATTACACAAATTACCATTACACGCTTGAAACGAGAGGAAGTGAGGTTCTCAAACACTTTAACCACCTCGCTGACGAAAAGCTCGACCGAGTCGATTTGGTGGCCTTGGTTCACTTTCGTAGTCGTCGCCAGGGACGCTCGAGAAAGGGTGTCCGCCGTTGCCAAGAGCTTGCCCGGAACATGGAGCACCCGGTACTGGTACTGCACGAGCTTATCTATGTCTATAAAATTACCGCTTTAAAAAAAAATAAAAAAAACCCTTTAGATTTGGCCAAGAAATTTTAGCGTGAAAAAAGCCCTTAAAAAAACCATTCAAGCGTAGTCCTCCTCCTTTCTTCTGCCTTGGCGATGACATTTATGGCTATAAACATTTAGAGGATTCCCAAGTTACGTTACCATAGCATTTAATATTGACATTCATGAGAAACGTTTTGCGGCTCTTGAGAACGCATTCTCGCAAAATATCACACACAGGGCCCGCAAGTAACGCATCCAAGTACACTATTCTCGCAGTTTGCTTCTTTTCATTACGATGACTTTGGATAGGTTGAACTACATGTACTAGGCAGGGATATCAGCGGTCTTTCTGTTATTTTAACTTCTATTTTTCCGTGCCAGGCGACCTTCTCATTTTAAAGAAAATGTTACGCAGTGCTCGGTCATAATGTTCTCGGTTCTATAGGATGTTTGACCGATACCCGAACCCTCATTCCCGGTGAAAATAAATAGAGACGTAGTCGGCATTAAGCGTGCTGGTCATATGCCACTAAATAAGCGTAGCTTATTTAGTGGCATATGACTACCACTAAATAATGAGTGCCACTAAATAAGCGTAGCTTATTTAGTGGCCCTAATTTCTTCTATGAAGGTATCTGCATGAAAGCGATTTCGGTGTACCCATAGCGACCTTAACCGAAGAGCATCGTTAGTTAACAAAGCAAATATTAAAACTTTTACCAGACGCCATAATAGAGAGTTAGGCACTTATTTAAACGTCGGCCGTAGCCAATTTTAGAACATAATGACTCTTGAGTTTTGTTAAGTTTCAGATTAAAACGTTTTGTTCCAGTCGAGTTTGATGATATTATTATGATGACTCAATATTATTTAAAAAAAAGTATTTTCTGTTCTTGCAGGTTGTATTTTATTTATTCGAGAAGCAAATGCAACTTGCGAAGATTGCCATCGAAATTGCGAAGGCATTTACGAAAACAACTGTAATATGACTCTAGCAGAATCTCCATATAAAAGCACCTGTCACACAGAAGGTTGAAACTGCCTGATATGTTGAAACTGCCCCATATGTATAAGCTGGAGTCTTCATGTGTTTGTACGCAGTTATAAAGAAATAAAAAATTGAGTCCTTTATATATCATAGAAGAATTGTCCCCTTTATTTCTGATCTAAAATATGCGTTTTCTATGTCTTTGAGTGCTACCTGCAAACCAACCGAGGCCCCGGCATGCAAACCGAACCCCTGCTTACGTCATCTTTCTCGCGCGAGGAGATGCAGTCACTGACGGCGTTATAAATGTAATATTTCATTTTGAAGTGAAGGTCTACACACATTTGAATACACAAGAGGTTCGAAAGCCTTGCAAGTTCAAAATCGTTGTTTTCAATAGTCAGATTTTTTATTGGCATATATTGTTTTGCAGTGAAGTATTGAAGTGCTTTATAATATATAATGATAAAATTGTTCAAATGCGTTAGTGTGGCTGCTTTTAGAACCTCAATCTTTAATGTGCGCGACTTAAATCTCAAAAATATAGAAAACTTGCAAAGCCACAGCCGTGAAAAAAACAACCTTATTTCTTAATAAGGTATTTATTAAGAAAATAAAATAAAATATTTATAAAATATTTTATTTTATATCTGGCATTCCAGTTGTTTGTTTAGTGCTCGTACTATGTGCTTTTTACTATTCAAATAATATACTGCTGACCAGCACGAAATGCACGTTACAATGCACTTTCAAACGCACATCTCAAGAGATTTAAACATACGTGTTGCGAGGTTCTTTGGGGTTAATAATTGACAAGATACAACGTCCTTCGTTTTTCTTAATACATGTATTTACAAAAGAAATCATAGAGTTCATATGCTTATACTAAAAGAAATAGGAAAACTTAGTTTAAAAAAATGCAAGGAAGGAAAACGCAACTGTCACCATGTCTTTGAGTCACCATGCGCAGCAGCGGGTCTTGTGTCTGGGGCTGTCGTTGTCGGCCGACGGTTGTGGCAGGCAGTCAGGAGCGGGAGCGGTTGGCTTCCTTCGATGACCCGAGTCACCGCACCAAGTGCTCGCGCAGTAGGAAGCCGGGTAGCGTAGGCTTCTATGCGCTGCCCTCGTTGGAACAGGCTGCCGGTCAGACAGTAGGAGCGAACCCCGATTGCCCTGGTCGATGGTGTCGTTCCAACCCAGCACGCTCTCCCGGCCAGTCCTTTGGACGCTCTGCGTGCACGCACTACCAATCTCCTCTCTTCTTCGTCATCTTCCTTCTTCCTCTCAGCCGATCCATGGTTGACTTGCACTTCTTCATTTGCACACTGAGTAACATCATCACAATATGTTATGATGAACATCTTACGTTCACCATATTATGTCTTTTATGCCAAGTTTCGAATAGCAAAAAAAGTACTGATTTTCTTGTGGGTGACTGTCCCCTTTTTTCTGTCATCTTTTTTCGTGCGTTTTCCCCGAAGATGTTACTAAACGCGAGAAAACACGAAAAACCTCCAACCAGTCGTTACGCCATACCAGGATCTTTCGGCCGCCAAGCGCGTGTCGCTCGTGTGGGCAGTGCGTGCAATTTCAAGCTTGCCAGGTATATTCCCTCGCACGGACACCGAATTGACACCCGTCGCGACGTTTTTTTGTGACCTTTTTTAAAGATAGCGAGAGGTCTCGTGCATAGCTTTGATAGGAGCTGAAGATGCCCGAATGCGAAGAATAAAAAATTCCTCAAATGGTGGCACGCTCCGGAAAAATGGGGACTTTAACGATACTTTGAAAATGATTTTCTGCAGCCTCCGTGCACCAAATTGAAAAATAATCACGATATTCGTGATTCTGGAGGCTAAATGAAGACGATTTAGGTGTTTTTTCTCAAATACAGAACCGCTTCAGTTTCCCTTCAAACTCTTTTCTCCCCCAGTCTTGGAATAATCACCATGTGCGTATTTCCTGCTTCTTAAAGACTCGCATCTTGTTACTGTCATCTTTAGCTCGGAATTTATTCCTAAACTACTGGTGAGCCACGCCTCATGACGGTGACAAGATTTAATATAGAGCCCTCGTATGAAAGGGCTAGTATGTTTTCAGTAGCCTGTTGCCGTGCCGCTCAACTCACTAGACCGTAGAGTAACAATGAAGTTCAGCGTGTATATAAACAAGGTCTTCCTGCAACAGTTTGCATTTTTCTGGGCGACTTTTATCACACCACATGGTAAAAGTGTCGCCCTGAGTTTTTGTTTACTCTACGCCTTCAATACTATTAAATAAACAAGAAAAAAGAAAGAAAACAGCCAGAAAGCAGATATGATCAGAAAACGATACGCAGTTCAAAATAATAAAAAGTCGAAAATATAACAAAACGACTTATAAGAGCAGACAAATATTTGGAACAATAATAAAATACACTTATTTTTTTTTCTGAATGTGTATCGAAAATAAGCAAAGAACGACCTCAAAATAACATGGCTCAACCCATATTTGGTATAGTCTTTTTATATAAATCAGATTTATTAGAGGGGTTTATAGGTATAGGCTTGTTTTCTGAAACGCGGACTGTAAGAATAGAATCTGGGTTGTGGCATCGCCAGCCTTGTGCCTGCTGCAGTAGTGGTAACTTTAGAGCACTCCCGCGCATCACACGTTCTTAAATTCTTTCTAAAATTGACGCATTTTAGTTTTAGTTTTTAGTTAATTTTAGTTAATATATATATTAGCTATTCAGTATTGTTTTTTTGCATTCCCTCACGTCCGCCGCCGCTGGCAGTTTGTTCCAGAAAAAGCTTTTCTTTTTTCTTCTCACCCTCCCTCTTGGTAAAATTTTTTTAATGTCTTCCCGAAAACACTCGGTATTTTAATTGCCTATTCTTACTAATCATCGCATATTACGGGTGTTTCTTTTTTTTTTTTTAGTCAGCTTTTATATTAATATATAATTCTTTAAAAACATTTCTCAGCTCTAGGTCTACCCCCTATTTCCTCCAACCAGAGCTGGGAGTTCTGACGTCCCGGTGCGCTCTCGTCTCCTCCTGTCCCTCGGTTTCTCGGCCCATAAGAACGGCGAAGAACGAATCCTGAAACGAGAAGAATAAACATTTTGAGCCACGAGGGTTACCCTCACGAGGGTTACTAACCCTCGTAACCCTCGTGAGGGTTACAAGGGTAAGTAACCCTCGTGAGGGTAACCCTCGTGAAGGTAACCCTTTTGAGGGTAACTAACCCTCGTGAGGGTTACGAGGGTAAGTAACCCTCGTGGCCCTCGTGATCCTCGTGAGGGTAACCCTCATGAGATTAACCCTCGTAACCCTCGTAACCCTCACGAGGGTTACGAGGGTTGCGGTTACGCCGACGCCGACGGCGACGCCGCTCAAGCCGGGAACGGGCCCCTAAGAGCTGCGCTCTAAAACATTTTGAGCCACGCCCTCCATTTCCTAAGTTGTCAGCGACTTTACCTGCCTAACTGTGGTCAGTGCTGTAAGCTTCATTTCAGTCCTTCCTAAGTGACATATCATGAATTGATTGATGTTCTCCAGATGGAAGCGGGAAAACAAAATGGGCATTGTCACCCCTGGGGCACTGCAACGGTTTTTTAAAAACGCGCTGAGGCAACTCTGGAAATTCCCCAAGCCGCAAAGGTTGTCCGAGCCAAGCGGTTTGGCCCCCATCTGTTTGCCAGGTGTTTTGGGGGCTGCAATGCCACATGTCGACCTTTCCCCGAACCGGATATCGCTTCCCTGTGCTGACCTTTTTCTGTGCCGACTGAACCTTCTTCGGCAGCGTGTTGTTATTTTCAGCTGCGTTAGCCCATGCGTCGTCAGCGATCACATTTTTATCTGAATCCGTATTAAAGTATAATTCGAAGAATAAAGAAAAAGAAAAAGCTGCGGTATACACAAGGGCGTAGCAAAATGCCGGAACAGCGTCGCGAGAATGCCGCCATTTAAATGTTTACTCATCAACGCAGCAGCGAGGACCAAAAAAGAAACAAAAAAAATTAAAGACGTTTACAACACCCTGTAACGCCGAATTAGACCGCAGGTCTTAAGGAGGAGGAGGGTATAACGTTCCTCCCTCCTCCTCATCCTCCCTGCTACTCGTCCTCCCTCCTCTTCCTCCTCTTCCTCCTCGTCCTCCTCCCCTCCTCCTCCTCCCGTTCTACTCCTCCCCATACCCTCCCTTTCCTCCTCCTCCCCTCCCCCTCCTCCTCTTTCCTCCCCCGAGCGTTGCATCATGGGAAATGTCACATTACGCACCGCGCGGGACCCTCGTGACTTCACACATGACGTCATGAGTGACGTCACAAGTGTCCCGCGCGGTGCGTTATCGGACGTTTCCCTTAATGCACCGCTCCGTTACGCCAACAGAGACGGTGACGCCGCTCAAGCCGGAAACGGGCGCCTAAGAGCTACGTTCTAAAAGAAGAACGAGGATTATCTCAGGAGCATTTAGGCGGCTGCAGCATGCGCATGCATTTCTATCCTTTTTAGTTTATATAAAACAGGGTTTAGATGATGTAGGAGCTTTTGTCTAAAACAGGTTGCGTTTGAAATCTTAAATACCGAGGGGAAAAAACGGCCCAGTAGACACTATCTTAGCCCCCTATATGCTAGCAAAGACTAGCAGATCGCCACGAGAAGCGGCCGCTAAAATGGAAAAGGTGGAGCGGCAGACGATGGATGAGAGGAGAGCCACTTGACTGCTGCTCCGCTGCGGCAACACGCCGAAACCCACTCCCGAGCGAACAAGTGTGTTTCGGGTCCCCGCCGCTGCGAAACCTGTGCGCTCACGTCCTGGTTCCCCGAGAAATGGCTCTTTGACGCGCTGTGCTACCGGATCATCTCGCTCCAAATCTGCGACCGGCACTCTATGGTTCCGTCGTCGAATTGCCAGGCTTTGTGAGTATAGAGGAGGCTATGACAGTATAATAAGATCGAACATTGAACTTCATCATATGCTTATTTTTTTTCACTAAAAATAAAAGGGCGTGCTACGAAACCTGACATTTATGCAGAAGGATTTTATATTGCCGGGTGTTGTTTCATTAGATACGGCTTTAAGGTGAGTGTGTGTGCATGTGTCTTTGGGCTTTGAAGTTGAAATATTAGAAAGATCACGTTATTTTGCAGGAAGTGGCGTCAAACCACGTGGCATATCTTTAAAAGAATAGGACACAGCCGGTCATACTGCTATTCCGACGTTATGTTACTGTTGTCCGATAAGTTCGCGAGACCATAGAATATAAATGGGGCAGCGTTGGCTATCCACTGCTACCATATTTTTGTATTGTATCGAAAGCCAAAAAGCAATGTTTCGCATATTTGCTGTATGCGCAATGTCCATCGTTGTTGGCGTATGCGGACAACCTACGGTGAAGAGACCCATCGAAGATGATCCCGCCTATGCGGAATTCCAGCATGCACGCGAGGTAAGTTTTCATTTTTTTCAAGATTTAGCTGCCATGTACCACGCGACATCTAAAAATGGCGTCTCAGAATTCTAAAGCTCCAAACAAATTTGTTCCACTTACTCGTTCTATCGAAATTCCGCATGAAAGAAGCCAAAGTGTCATTTTAAAATCTCGCCCCCCACTCTTTCTACTATTTTCACACATCTCCATAGAAGCCCCCCCCCCCCTCCCTCTCCCTTCCAGCCCCCCACCCCTATCCCCAGACATATCCAGACAACGACGATAGATGGCGGCAGTCGCCCTTCCGAAATCAACGGGGAACAGCGAGGTTGCGTGCTTCCAGCCGTTTTAACTTCGCAAAAGCTGTCGGTTACAGGGCCACTGGATATTTGCGGAGCAAGATACATTCGCTTGTAAAGTATCTGAACAAATCATGCAAAATTCACTCTCCATCTAATGAGAGAGAACGGCAAGCTCCACGCGCTGAGCACAGTAGACGGAGGGCCGCCGCAGCACGAGAACAGTAAAGGGCGTTATGGACCACGACTATGAGGCAATGGGAGCAGCGCGTAAACAGGGCTGGGCAGTATCGCAAATCAATTGAATCGAGATAGTACCTCAGAGATACGTTCGAGGGTCTGTATATCTGTATTGAGACACCTTTGAAATATATATATATATATTTTTATTTCAATAGTAAAATACATTTGTTTTTGTTGTTGTTTTTTTTTCGCTCGTATCGCGATACTCTGCCAGTCTTAGAGATCTTGTTACATTTGTCGAAAATAAATGTCGTGTTTTACAATGAACTAAACATTTCTGGGGCAAGGTGTCCCAGAGTTTGTAATCTGAACTGGGTGCATAACCCCCTCTACAGGGAGGAAGCCTGGTTGCCTGGTATGCCACAAAGATCAACATTTTTAAAAAGAAAAAAAAAAGTGTTACCGGAATGGACGCTTTCAAGATTAGTAGGATAAGCTCCTTCAGAAAGCCTTCTACCCTTTCCACCTTAGCAGAGCAGACGCTGTAAAGGAGGTTACTGGAAAGGAGGAAATCATCAGTCATGAACTGTCGCGAACTTTAGGAAGGTCTTACCTTCCTGCACGGAACCTGTTCAGGTCTTATGAAAACCATAGACGTTTTTTGTTTCATTTAGTTCACAGTCACGTGGGTTGTCGTTTCAACCTGGAATGAGCGAGAAAATAAATATAGCTGAGGCAAAACAAGAACGTGTGACAATCACACGTTTTTCGTGAACACCTTCCAGCGGCATGGAAAGCCCAGAACTATGTTTTAACGCATACCAGAAGTGACGACATACAAGATGACTGGGCCCTTGTGGAAATGGCGTATGGTCGGTTAATTACGCGTTAAAATTTCAGGGTAAGCTCCCACCCATCTGTTGCACCTTAGCAGAGCGAACACCTGAGAGAAGAACATGATTGTAAATCTCCTCTTTTTCTACTTTCTGTTATGTTCTCTTTTCTGCCCCAGTCTCAGGTTTACAATCATGTTCAACTTACACCAGCTCGCATGCATTTTTCGTTTTACCTGAGAGGAGGTCGTTTTCTCTCCAGCGTTCGCTGTCTTAAGGTGTAAAGTGGGAGGAGCGTCCCCTGAACTCTTAACCCGTCGCCGACTTTAGGTCTGACTTCGCTGTCCAATCCTCCTGTCTCTGGTGACTCGAAAGCACTTAGGACGACCGTTTCAACAGCCCTCTAACGGCCAAAAAAAAAGAAGTTTATTTTGGGCAGACGCTTTTCGTAAAGGTTGCAAAGCAGTCATTTGTCTCAAATTGTTCAATGGAAGCCACCACTTTTTTTCCGGCATTCGGCATTGTAGATTTGAATCGATAAAAAGGGTTTGATGTAAGTGAAGGTGCGTAAGCTACACATACATGGGGGAATGCAAGCCCTGCCATTTGCGTTCACCACGAATTGCACCCTATCGCACTCTGCTCGGGAAAAAAATAGTTTTATTTCTGTACGAAAAGCTTTTTTGCCTTCTTTGCACAAGTATGTCAGGAATCCCGTCACATGTAAAACAAACTTGTCTCAGTCCCTGTATTTTGGCCTTGAAATACATATATCGCAAGATTTGTATTCCGGAATACTTTTGGAGTAACCCTGCCCAGCCCTGCGCGTAAACGCCAAAGGCATCGAGACCTTCATATTAGCGAAAAAGAGGCGCATTTGTGAATACATTCGAAGAAAGAACACATCTCCTGCAACTATTCTACTAAAAGTAAAGCTCTGAAAGGAAATATCCTAAAGCACATCAACTAGAAAACTATTTCCTAAAACATATTTCTCAAGAGTGCAACAGCTGCCGCCGTCAATCGCAATAAACATTTTGTTGTCATTGGCATTTCTTTTTCTTCTAATACTAGTCCTATAGAAGATTTTCGATTTTCGATTTTCAGTTAAAACTTAGGGATGACTGAATGGAAAGCGCCGAATAAACAAGGTCGAAGAAAGGAACAGAGACGAAGCGGGAAGCGAAGCGCAAATTTATTAATACTACCTCTCAGCTCTTTGTGAGCTGCTTACTAAAATGCTGTTGCTATAAGTTAAACTAACAGACTGTCAAAATTACACATTCGGATTCTTTAAATATTTCGGTCAACAAATAAATCTGGGCTGTTTTTTCTGTCCTTCAGTTTCGTGATCCAGGAGAAAAGCTTTTCATAAAATACACCACATATCGGACTCCTCCCGGGGCGGATTGCTTCTGGAACACTGTAGAGTGTGTGGACCACCGATACATGCTTCAACTTGGAATGAGTATTGGCGGGAAAACGTAATGCTCACTTTATCACTTTTAAAAGTCATTGGAAACTTAAGAACAATAGGATGTGGCCAGTTGTTATAACGTGCTTTACTTCACCTGGATTGACTCCTCATGGTACGTGTCCTTCGATGCTGTGGTTTTTCAGGCTGCCAAGTAGATAGTTGTGGCTGGACCCGTCCAGGCGTTCTTACGTTATCAATGATTATAAACACTCTCTATCGATGATGATATTTCGAAGGTCTCCTCATAAACGCTCTTGCATTGCACAGAATTCAATTTGAGACTCCCCTCCTGTTCAACACCAGCGAAGGACACACCCGGCCGAACGTAATCTTGCATAAGCTCACACCAAGTACGCAACCAATCATCTATTTGTACATCAATTTACGTTGAAAACACATTTTACGTCCCGACAAAGACAGTAATCATTAGTTGTCATATTCGCTACCCGCGGACGCTGATGTAACAGATGCAGTGAACGCGATCAATGTCCCATCTGCCTCATTTTTGATGATCACGATCCAGTTTCAGAAACAAATACAATAAAATATTAATGGTCGGGCCTTTATTGCTGTTATTATTTAACCCTCGCGACTCACGAAAAAAAATTTAAACTTCCCTTCATCATTCGTCTAAAGTTAAGAGACCTCAGCGTGCTTTGGGAAAACAAATTTGCCTGGACCTTACGTATACCGTCTGAACTGCGCAGAAAGCTAACCTGAGGGGCTGCTTAAATGCGACATTTTTCGCTAAATTTCGCGGGCAGTAGTCACGTGACACCAGCTACGTCATTACGCCACTTGCCGTTTGCTGCTGCAGCGTGGTATCACGTGACGCGCTGATGTGGAACTGTGATGTCAACGTGAAAGTGTGACATAAAGTAACGTGATCACGCGACACTGTAGCGTTAAATTATGGGTCACGCGACACGTCACGCCGAGGTACGTGGTCACGTGATGCTGGGACGTGACGTCACGAGACAGCGTAACCCGGCACAACCGCGTCGTTGTATCCGAGTTATTATGTTTTGTTTTGGTTACAACCCTTCGTGACGCTCTAGGCTTAGAAACTAGCTTTTATAAAGGCATCATTCTGCTTTAAAAGCCAACGCGTAAGCATGATTTCAGAGAGCAGAGAGAGAGATCTTTGTTAGAATTTGGGCGCCGTATTTATTGGCGCACTGTGTTTTTGAACGTTGCGAAACGCTCCAGATAATATAATTAGTTCAACATAAAATCGTGGTATTCTAATTATGAAGGGAGTCCTCCCCGACTGAAGAGAAATACAGATTGACACGGGAATTACACCAAGATAATGTCTACATGACCCATTGCAGATGACACTGAACCTAGAAGATTTCCCTTAATGTATCTGAAGCCGACAGGAGATTGTTTAGTTGTGCGAGTTCCACATCAAAATAACGGTGAGTGCAAGCAATACTGAGTGAAGTCAAGCTTATTCTTCTTGTTTAATGGTGTTACAGCATGTACACTAACCCTTCGGAGCGTTTTTAAACGGTCCGCAAAATTCGGTTTTTCAACGTACCGCACGTGATTTACTACAGAGGTGTGGCAATATGGTGAATATTTGGAGCGAAAATATAAACCGACAAAGTTGCATCTTTCAAAAAAGAAAAAAGAGGAACCTGTGTCGGGTAAATTAGGACGGCATTCGCAGACGGTGTCAAATCGGTGCTCGCCGACTGGTAAGTGGTGCCGACAATTGGCTAGGGAACGAAGATTTTTTCTGAGCTCGCCCGTTTCACAGGGAAAAGCCGCACAATGATCATCATCATTACCACCACCACCATCATCATCATCACCACCATCATCATCATCACCATCATCATCATTATGAGGATGCGGTGCCTCGCTCGATTATTTTTGGACGAGAAATGGGGGGCTCTCGACAATTTAAATACCTCTTTTCGTATTTGTTTACTAAAATTTATGATCTCACTTTGAAAATGGTACATCAAAGAGACGCGCGCTGAGCTGAGGAACGGTACCTATTAAATGTTACGAAGATTTGCTAAGCTCGGCGCCGGGGAGTCCTCGACGCTTCCGACATCTGTCGGCAGCATTGCGCTTCCAAAATACCGTCTGCAAATGCTGCCGTAGGTTATCCAAAATATGTTCTTATTTTTTTTTTAATGGTAATTTCATCCGCTGATATTTTCCCTCCACGTTTTCACCAAGTCGCCTCACTCCTAAGTAAATCGTTGCACCACATGTTGAAAAACCGATTTTTCCGAACCGTATAAAAGGGGTTTGAAGCGTTACTGCACTACGTACAGTACGTGGTGCAGGTATCGAATGAAACGTGGACATAGAAGCACAGAAAAGCGCAGTTTGAATGTGCCTACGTTGTTTGAAGCTGATTTTGTTTTGTGTGGGAAGCATTCCACCGGAAGCCATTTTGTCGAAAAGATCCGCGCAATCGTACGATAACTTCGACGGGAGGGCTTCAAGGTTACGGTCAAGTGGGTTCCAGGCCACCAGCGAGTCTTCGGCAACGGCCTGTCTCGCCGAGGAGTGGCCAGCTTGGAAGCTAAACACGAACAACACTATGACTACGAGGAGGCGCTACAGCTTGCGGAGAAGGAACAGAGAGAAGCGCTCCGGGTCCTGATTCCGGAGGAGGAAGACCCGGTCCTCCTTTGGCTACATCCAGAGGGCGGCCGTTCGACTCCGGAGGATATGGACCGGCGCCGCTGTCTCCTCATACAAACGAGCACTCATAGAGAAGAAACCTGAAAAAGGTCGCTGCATTCGGTGTACCCCAGAAGAGCTTGAGACACCAACTGCTAACCTCCGGTACCTCCTTTGGGAATGCCTGGTGCTACAAAAGCATCGGGACGCCGCGTAAGCCCAGCTACCTGTAGACATAAAAAAACTTACGAGTCAACGCGTCTAGTCTTATACCCTATGGGGCTTTCACAACACCGAAAAGCGGTCCTAGACTCGCTTCTCTCGTACATGCGGAAGGCGCGCCTCCGGGGCTGAGTCTAACTCCCTTTCCTCTCAGCCTGATGCCGCTAGGCAAGAGAGGGTTCACACCTTTTAAATCACATGTTTTCACTTCACTTCGTTTGTATACAAGTCATAGGTCAATGGATCCTATCTTGACTGTTTATCCCAGAGCCAAGAACAATAGGCCGTTTTCGTAGATCCTGTCCGTCGTGCCTCAACGCTCTCCGCAACCCACTAAAATTTTTGAGCTCTGCAGATAAGGCTAGCGCGCCCGTGCACATTGGTGGCATTTTAGTTGCGAAAAACAGTCCATAAAAACTCTTTAATAAAGGAACCAATAAATGATACTGACTTAGAATTTCACAAATTCTTCACTATGAACCCTGAAAAAACAAGTTCAACAAACGCTTTATTTCTTTTTTTTCGTAAATTTACGCAATTGTTTCCCTTCTCCCTCGTTATGCCTGTGATTATAATCGAAATCCTGCGGTGATCAGTCGCTGCCAATGGAGCCTTATTACCAAATCCCACTTACAGCCGGCTCTTCCCATTTATACATAATTCCTTTAGCAGGGTGCGACTCACAAGTAGGATACAAGCGTTACGTAAGATCTCTGCTCAGTTTTTGGGCTTCTATGCAGTACATCCTAAGCTATTAAATGACTACTACGTCTCTAACATCCGCTAAACACCGTCGCTTTTTAATCCATCGAAATTATGAAATAGTCTTTGTTCCACACCGGCGAAAAACATGGCGACGGTGAAATGTTCCGCCATATTTATTTAACATATTTATTTTATTAACGTTTGCAACGTTCAGATGCAAAGACGCGTGTCTACACTGTCTAGCAGAGTCGCAGTAAGGACATTCATTGTGAGATGCTGAGAGTTACTGAAGAGATATGATGCATATATAAGGTTCTAAGGCGGACGTGCTATATATAAATGGCGAAACTGAGCATGACGCTTCACGTACCCAGAACTCCTCATAGATCACAATTTTAGGGAAACACATTTCCGTGCCCTACGTAAAACGAGGGGGTAGTCTCTGTTCTTAGTGAAAGAAGAGGGGAAGCGGGTATTTGGTTGCAGCCGTACTTTATGAATAAAATATCCGCTCGCAATAAGACTTTAAGTTGTGCAAATTTTTTGTAATATTCCATCTGCTATTCGTAATATTCCTGCTGTGATGCTAGCATGGACAAAACACAGTTTTTGCAAGACATATTTGAGCGTTTTGTGGAAAGCACTAATGAAGCTTGCGCACGCGCGAATAATCGAAAATATTTTTACATTTCCAACTACTGCTTATGAACGTGTTAAAAATTAAATTATGACAGATTTCGTCTCCAATCAAAACATTGTTTTTGTTAAGAGAAGAAATATCAAACTAAATGTCGATATTACAAATGCATCGGGTTTTCAAGTCCACTATTTCACTATATCTTGCCGTGCATGCTCAATAGTTAATACCAAGTTCATTAAAATTTTAGCCTTAGGTACATTTTTTAATTAAATATATTGTCAGGCCCACTAATATAGTCAGACTACTTTGGCTTCCTAAATGATAGTCACTGATTTCGTTTTGAGGTAGATCGAGTTTCATTTGCCGTTTAACTTATATAATATCTTGGAATTATCTTGCCATAATTTCTGCTCTAACTTTTTCGTTAAGACATAGAAAATGAGCCTCTCTCATCACGTTCCTGAACGAGCCATGCAGTAATATTAAGAAAAGGTATTAAAAGGGATTTACGTAAATAGCTTTACGGTGTGACCACAGCGAAATCTCCTTGAAGAGCATTGTCAGTTAACAACCCAAACATAAGGCGTTATCCTAAACCCATACTATAACAATTGGGTGAAGATATTACTGAATAAAAAGCTAGTTGTAGTCTTATTTAAATCAAGCTTAATTTGAAATTTTGAGAAAAGATTAACTGTTTTAAAATTGCCACTCGAGCTCGCTTATTTGTCGTTAGAATTAGTTGCAAAGCAACATTTGTTCTTTCTTACAGGTTGTATCTTATTCATCCGAGAAAAAAATGCAACTTGCGATGAATGCCATCAAGAATGCGAAAAAATATATGTAGACAACTGTAACATGACTCTGGAACAATCTCCATATCGTAGCACCTGCCACAAAGAAAGTGTTTCTCAATGCTGAGACTGCTACTTGGTTTTGAAGAGCCATTAAAAGAATTTAACAGACGACTGAGTTATTTAGATATCTTAAAAATACACATCTACTCGTCCGATCCAAAGTTATCATTTTCTTTGCATTTGAGTATTGTACTCAATGACAACCTAATAAGAAACGCAGGAGCTTAATATCTTCACGCTGCTTGCATCATGATTTGTTATCCGACGTTCGTTTTGGACAATACTGAAATCTCACTGGCGGCCAAGCGATAATAAGATGTACGACGTTTTGCCTGTTTGCGTTTCTAAAACTGCAAGTTACTGTACACCTCATCACCAGATAAAATGTCGGTATGCGGACCGCTTCCCTCCACTATGGTGCATGAAACGCGTCTCCGACTGGTGCGTCTAGCGCAACATCCTGTAAGTACATAAATGATACCTTTGTGTACATGTTTGTACAGCCGGACGTTAGTCACCCTTGGTGGGCGTGTGGTGTCTCAGCTGTAGAGGAGTAACGTAGCTAGTGCGGTATTAACCGATAGCCTGGGGTCTTTTAACGTGCACCACGCACTTGTAATACACGATCGCATATACGACGCTTATCCAGTTCGAAACGAGCAGGGGGTGAGGCAGCACGAGTTTTCGCTCCACGTGCTGCGAGCTGGTGTGCGCTAGCCCACTCGGACACCAATCACGAGGCAAGCACAGTGCAATTCACTTGTAATGATAATGACGAAACCCGAAAATGCAATTGTTACAACCGATTATCGTTGTATCTGGACTAGAAATTGATAGTTTCAAGTCTGGAAACTCTATAAACAGATTTTTATAAGCGGTATATCGTTATATCTGTTATCGTTATAAGTGCATTGCAATGTATATCAAATTTGTTCCCGATATGGCCGCAAATGACGTCAGAAAAGCCGAAGTGTCGTGCTGTCGGATATCGTGATGCTGACGGTTGGTGCTATAAGTGATGGCAAAATCACGAGCATACGCGAGTGTCGCCATTGTCGCGGCGTGTCAACTCCTGGCTTTCGAAGCTTCTGCGGACTGTCAAGACGGAAGGCGATCTTTAGCAAAATAGGCGTCGGCCACGTCCATCGCCGCTCCTGTGACACCACCAGGGTCGCGCATGGCGACAGCGTGACACTTCTATGACATCATCCGGCGGAAATCGAGGAACCAATTTCTTCGACGCGGTAGACGTACCAGTCGGAGACACATTCCGGGCACGCATACCTGCACGAACCATCCTTCTCGCGTGAGACAATACAGCTGTTCCAAATTCAACCCTCGCGCTTATCGGTTGAAAGCGCTCCCCCCCCCCCCCCTTTATTCCTTTCTATGCAGCCAATTGGTTCATTTGAATTTGATGTACTACGACCACAATCATGTAGACACGCAGATTATGAATGAGAAAGTGAGGTCTCCACATTCAAACATCACAAATTCAAGCTTCACTCATGTCTATTTTGACATCGGCGTGTGTGGTACCCGGTGCGTGCGTTCGCGTACTAAGATGTACGTTACAATAGTAAGTTGTGCGGTCCTTGTTCATTGGCTATACCGGTCCTCTACAGTGGAAACATGAGCCATAATTTCTAGAGATTTCCCCTTCTTCACATTCTTCACTTTCACTATTTTTGAGGCGTAGTGAAATAAAACGGTATTCGACATTAAATATCGCACGCTCTTCAACCTCTACGTTAGGAAAAATAATTATTCGATTTTATTTCGCCGATTAATTAATTGAAATGATTAAGCGGTGGATAGTCCAATTTGCATTTCATCCAAAGTTCGGTGTCTAAATAACTTTTTTTTAATGAAAAGCTTGGTTAAAGAAAAACGAGCGCGTTGAACTGGCAATTAAATGTCAAAACTTTTAGTATATTCTAAAATGCGCAAACAGATTTTTTTTTTTTTTTAATTTGTAAGAAGTTGTAAACTCATTTAAACACAAGCTTGAGTTTAGAGCAGCGTGAAACGTATTTGCATCCCTTCAGATTCACCTGCTAATTGTGCCCGAAAGTATCATGAAGTTTTACCCGACATGGTTCTGAGTTCATGAAATAATTAAAAAAATGTTCGTCTGGTATTCGCAACTCCAACGCCCTATAGGTGGCGGCGCGGTCGTTCCAAGATGGCGGAAGAGACGGGGATAGATTCTTCAGGATATCCCGTGCGCCTGCTCGCTGACGCTGTTCAGCGCGCTAAAAATCATTTATTTGTCTACAAATGCGAAGCGGTTAGGGAGGGATCATATAACAGGTGACGGAGATGCTGATGCACGTTAGGAAAGCGAGCATGCTGTTATTTAAAAGTTGCAGAAACCTCAATGTGCGAAGCTTTGTGGTGAGCGAGCGCGTCTAAAGGCTCGCTCACACTCTTGCGACTGAGTACGACCGGGAGAAATCAAACCGGCTTTTAAGCCTTTTGCGACTTCTTAGGACAGGATGCATTGCAGCGGAGCTGGTCCTAAGAGATCGCAAGAGGCTTAAAAACCGATTTGGTCTCTCGGTCTTACTCGGGTGCAAGAGTGTCAACGAGCCTTTAGGCACCAGCCACGTTGCTGTTTTTTGGCAGAATATTTTTGAGGGTGACGAAGATATGTTTGCGCTTTGCGTAGCCATAAGGGCTCTAAAAAGAGAGCCGCGAACGGTGACCGTCAATCTTCCGAAGAGCAGCAATAAATATTATTGGTGTCTTCACGTCACTGCCTCTCAAATCGCTGCACACCGTCTCGGTTTTAGTGTATTGCAACACGTAATCAAACTAATCTACGGTTATTGATAAAAAGCTTATTATCGCGGGCTATCGTGTGGTGTAGCAATACAACCGCAAGCTCGCGCTGCGCCTTAGAAGCACAATTTTCAGTGCGCACCAGAAGCGCTGCCGTGCTCATCACTCTAAAACAAAAAAAAAAGTTGTAGTCCTTACACCCCTTGTGACTCTCCAAAACTTCAGTTCGCCGTGCAGCCGACAGACGTCAGACTGACGGCCCCAACGTTTACGAGAGGCTTGATGACGGCGCAATATAAGATATTAAACACCTAAAGTACCCATCAAAGAGTACCGAAAAACAAAACAAAAAATACCGTGGTTTTGCAGAAGGGTCAAGAAAACCCTAAATACTTTCGTTTTTTTACAGTCATTTACACTTACTTAAGCTAGTTTAATAAGTTGCACAACTCGGCTATCAAGCCGCTCGTGAAAGTTGGTAGCGCCAGTTGAACGCCAGTGCGCTGTACGTCAAACTGAAGTTTAGGGGTGACGTACGCTATGCAAAAACTGCCTATTAACATAATCGGCGTGTTTAGGAGTTATATTTTGTTGCTTTATAAAAAATACATTTTAATTTACCGTAGATTTGTTGTACCGTGTTATTTGCAAAATTGCGGTCCCTCTGGCCAAAACTGCGCGTTCTAAGCTCTCGTCACAAACGGCTGGCTAACACAGACGCGCTTAAAATGCTTCGAGCATTTCTTTCTTTGCTTTGTAATTACCTGAAAGCAAGTATGGGCATTCTGTCTTTTTAAAGTGCTTGAAATAAATGGTCACGTTTTTTGTAACGGCCTTGAAACGCGAACCCATTCCCGATTTGTATTGCTCGACAAACACGTTGCGCGACCAGTTTTCTCCTACTTACGGCAAAGAATAGACTTTCCATAGGCCGTACTCTAGAGTTCTTCATTATTAGCGCGAGCGTTTTCCGTCACGTTGAACACAGATTTGGCTGGCGGCCACGCACAAGATTAGAAATCCGGAGCGTATGCGGTATACGAAAAGTCCCTAATGAAAGTAGACCTCCCGGTCTCTTGTGCAAGGCTGTTTCACAAAGAATTCCCTTTTTAACGCGCTCATTTTTTTCGTTAAAGCGGCTTCACGTATCAAGGCCGACAGTCCCTGCCACAGCTTCCGCGCCGCCGTCGCCGCTGCCGTCCCCGCTCCTCTGGTTTTCCGTTCGTCCGCGGGAGGCCGAGCGGCGCGCTGGAATTACGAATAGAAAATGGCCCCTGGACGGACAGTCACAGGTGGTGGTTGTGGTCTACATGCCAATGCAACTGAACCCATGCAACTGAACCAGAACAACATTTGAGAAGGTTCTTTGGGGCATGTTTTATAATCACTAAACCAAAAATGGCAGTAATGACATTACTGTAATTGAATTACAGTAATTAAATTACTTTTTGGATTAATGAGTAATGTAATGAATTACTTTTCTAGGCTAGTAAGTTAGTAATGTAATGAATTACTTTCAGGCAGTACTTTCGAGAAAATTACTCATTACTTTTGAAATTACTTTTGTCCTAAATTAGAAAATTCGTTTGCAAGCTTTAAGAAAGAAGAGAAAAATTATTTTGCATGGTGAAATGCTGTGAAAGAGCATCAAAGGAAATAATCGACGGCCACCTGAGCGCAATGCCTTGTACGAAGAGCTGTACAGACGTACAAAGGAGGACTGGAAAGGCGAAGGAGAAAAGCTTGTGTGTAGACATCACTGGAAGGCAACGGCTTAGGAACTCCGGGCACGACGGATTCACGGCATCGCGTCATCACGACGATGCTATACTTCGTTCATCCCTAAGCTGAAAGTGTTGTGGGAGCTTCAAGCTAACCAGAACCAATCGAACACCCTCTTTTAATCACGTGTCCCGTGCCTTTCTCTGCGCTCGGGTATGAACGAGAGCGTGGTTACGTGGCGGACGATAGACGTGTGACTGCTTCAACAAACACGTAGCTTCCATCGTTCATCCCTAAGCTGACATTGCGTCAGCTTACGGACGAACGGCTCATAGGCTACAAGGCGATGGGCACATCACCAGTGAGTTAAACATAATTATAAACCTGAGAGGAAAGGACAAACAGATCCCCACCCTCGTAATTTCGTCAAGCAAGGTCAAACCGTAAGCTTCCTCCATTGTGAACAATAAACGACCGGAATAAATAGTTAATTCCCAATGCCTTTTCAAAGCCCCAGAACGTTTTGAACGTCCTCGAGCAAAGCAGGTGCCGCTCGCGATGTGCCTCGCTGCCTTACCTTGGGAACTTTATTCGGGAATAAGCCT